GGATCCAGTGTTCACCAGCGCCTACAGTGCCAGGCTTCCTTGTGAGTGCTAGCCTGCCCCCATGCCCACTGGGAACTCCCAGGCTAGGGAGGTGGGCAAGGAGAAGGACACTCCAACAGAAGTGAACTCCGGTCTCATCAAGCCCTCCTCCATTTAGACATCAGGAAACTGAAGCCCAGAGAAGATCAGTGACTCGCCCAAGGTCACATAGCCAGCTGGGGGCAGAACCATCCAAATCTCATTTGTCTGATTCCAATACTTTACGTAAATGGGCTGAGAGAATTTTTCTTCCCCCTCTGACTGCATACTGAGACCCCGAAAGACTACAAACTCCTTCCCAGACTTGTTAGCATAATTAACATGACTCCCAAGAAAACCATAGAATGTAGAATTTAAGAGCCTGGGTGTGGAAGCCTGACTGCCTGGGTTTGGATTCCAGGTCTGCCATTAATCACAGTGTGACCTTGGACAAGTGATTTAACCTCTCTGGCCTCAGTTTCCTCATCTGGAATATAGTACCTCCCTCATAAGTAGTGTTGTTAAGGGCGAGTTTATGTACATAGGGTGCTTGGAACAGCGACTCCAGGTAAGAGTGTTTGAGGTACGTATATGTGCATATGGGAGTGTGAGCTCATGTGTAAGTGTGCATGAGTGTGAGGGCCTCTGTAAGCACGCATTTGTGTGTGAGTGTTAACAAGTGAGCATATGAGTGTATGTGGATGTGTAGTTGTGAGTCTAAGTACAGATGTGTGTGAACCTGTACACACATGTGCAGGAGTATTTGGGGGTCTATACAGACAAGAAAGAGTAGTGAAGGTGTATGTGTACACAGTGTGGGGAAACGAGAGTATTTTCACCATGTATGTGTGTGAATTTACATGGAAGGGCAGGAAAGGGGGTGAGTAGGTGAGTGAGTGAGTGTGTGTGCCTGTGTGTGTAAAGCAGCTTCTGCCTGCCTCGGGGTACCCAAGAAGCCTTCCGAAACAGGGTCCCAGTCTGGAAGACTGTATTTGTGGCTTCTGAAGCTGGTTTTTCTAAAAGTGACTCCACCCCCTCACCTCCTTCCAGCCCAGAAGCTGAAGCCAAAAGCCGGGAGGTCAGCAGCCGGAGCTGGGCCACCAGGAGCCTGGTCCCACAGGGAGGGAGGAGCCTGATGTTTGTTAGGGGAATGAATAGACAAGTGGATGAAATAATGAACAAGTCTGTCTCCAGGGCCTGAAATTCACTCCCTCCCCAAAGCTCAAGTTTTTGAAACCCAGGACCACCTTCCTCCCTGGCCCTTCCCTGTGGATTCTGCTCTTAGTGAAGTCACCTCTCAGCCCCCAGCTGCACCCCACGGGCCTGTCTACCTCCATGTGAGTTCCCTGGGTAGGTCAGGGGCCCCATGGAGGACCTGCACGGAGTCCTCACTCTAGTTAGAAAACAAGAAACTGGGCAGAGCAGAATTCCTTCCTTTCCTTTCCGGACACTATGGTTTCTGTGCAGGCACACTGGGCTAAAATACCAGTCCCTTCCTGTGCTCAGGAACTCAGCAGGGACCTGGCCCTTTCACCTTCAGGTGATCTCCCTCTACATCAGAACAAGCACAACAAAACAAGTGTTGCCCATAGCCCATATGGAATTGACATTTTTTGCCATAAATTTTAAAAAGGGGATTTGTGTAGTCTTTACAACACTGAATTTAATAGGAACCAATTACTCATTATTGTAATGGCTATTTTTTCTGTTTTGGTCATCCTGACATTCCAGAACCTATCTCAATGCCTGGCACTTAGTACATGCTCAGTAAATATCTGTTGAGTCAGCAGCACTCGTGATTTGAATGTGACTTAATAGAAGATAATGCTAGCTGAGTTCACTGTATGACATAATGTGAAGGGCAGCAGACACTAAACTAAGCAGGTATTACTTCTGATTTTGCAGTTTTCTTTTTGTAATTTGGAGACTCTCACTTTCCCATCAGGTTTCAATCATCCTCAGAGACTGTAGAAACGCTCACAGGCCTGTGGATCCTAGTGGATATAATGGGGCCGTTCCCTTCTGACCCCCACAGCCAGCTGACCAGGACAAGAGGTTCCCCTCAGAGCCCCAGATACGAGCAGGGGCCTCTGAGAGCAAAGGAGCAGGGTCTGGGCCTTTCTTCAGGAGCATAACCTCTCAGGCCAAGGAAGCACAGTTCTCCCACCCTCGCCTCTTCTGGTGGGCTCCCACTGTGTCTCTCACAGAAAGGCTTCTCAGGTGCCCGGGCCTGGGTCGCGGGGCTCTGCCCCTGTAGCCTGGCCTCCCACCTACCTCCACCCCTGTCTTTCTAATTTGATATCCACACAGTAGCCAGAGTGACGGGGCTGGCTTCTTAGATATGTGACCAGTGCAGTCGCCTAGGGCAAGTCTTCAGAAAGGCAGCAGTGCTCTGTAGTCTCCATCTGGAAATGATTCATAATTTGAGCTTTGAGTTTGTGTTTTGTAAGTGAACTCTGACGGGGAAATGGAGCAGGCACTGGGACCCGGGAGCCTCGGCCCCTCTGTGTCTACCTCCCTTTGCCTCCCTAGGACGGGTTCCTGGCTGCCCACTCCCTGTCCCCTGGCATGCATTCCACCCAGAGGCCTGAACGTGGGCTCAAATAAAATTGGGGACCTCTGGATTGGCTCTGGGTATCTTGGGGTGGGACAAGTGACAGCCATCCCCCTCCCTGGGCCTCCCTCGGGGTTACCTGTCAGCAGCGAGTTGGGGGAGGTGGGCCCATGGAAAGGGGAGACTGACTTTCAATCAAAATGCCCCTGGTGGGGCCTCTGCAGTTTCATTTTGTACCAGGCCCTCAAATGACATAGCCATTCCTAAACATGATGCTTCTACAAACAATATGCCTTGCTAGAGCCCTCCTGGGGCACCTACTGATGTCCCCAGATCCCTTCCTTTGATTCATGAGGTCCTACACACCCTGGCTGCGTAGCTCTTTGGCCTCTCTCAAACCCCAATCCTGTTTGCCCTGCCTGGAGCAACCTTTCCCTGCCCCTTGGCTTATGGGGATAGTCCTGACACCTCCAAGTCTAGGTTCTCACTCCATCGTAGTGGTGCACTTCCATCACCTGATTGGTCCCTGTCCCCAAAGAGGACAGCATCTTTGTCTCTCCTGTTTCCAGCTGCAGCCCAAGTGGGGTGCCTAGTGAGTGTTGCTCAGGGAAGAACAGGTGCCCATCTGCTTTCCAACATCTTTGCCTGGCAATGAGAAAACAGAGGCTCAAAGAGGATGGCAGCTTACCAGGGGCTCATGCCGGGATAGGGAAAGTATAGAACTTCCATGTGAGTCCAGCGCCCAGATTTTCTCTCCCCTGCACCTCTCTGCCAGGGATGCAAGGCCACAGGGTTGAGAAGACCTACTCTCTGCAGGGATGGAAAGCAGTGGGCAAGGCTCTGCCCGGCTCCTCCTCTAGAGAGGCTTTGCTGCCAACCATGGGGAGGGGTTGCTAGAGTCATAGCGCTTCTCTGGCTTTGACTCAATCCCACAAAGAGGCACTCCAGTTCCTAGTGTGAAAGATTGGGGTGAACAAGATCCAGCCCCAGCTGCAGGGGCATCCCACTTGCTGGGGGTGATGTCCACTAAAGTTTTCCAATGTATAAATCTCATCCTCCTCCCTGCATCCTTGCTCCTAGGGCTTAAGAATAACTCTGCCTGGGCAGGTAGATTTCTGTATGTAATTGTAACCCCTCGGAGCTCAGAGAAGGGAAGCACCCAGGGCCTCTGGCTCGTATAGGTCAGCCTGGAATGGAGGTGGGCAGGTAGATTTCTGTATGTAATTGTAACCCCTCAGAGCTCAGAGCTCAGAGAAGGGAAGCACCCAGGGCCTCTGGTCAGCCTGGAATGGAGGCTAGAGCAGCCTGGAATGGAGGCTAGAGCAGCATGGCTCCAGAGCCTGGACCACACTGAATCTATCACAAGTCAGGTGCCCGAGCCATGTCCAGTTGGGAGGAGTGAAGCAGGGAGGCCTGTGAGTATCTCTCAGTGGGGGAAAGGGGACGTCCCCCTACAGGCAGAGGGAATATGGAGCAAAGGTGCAGAGGCAAGAAAGGGTGGGAGAGAGAAAAGACTGGAGAGGATGATTCAGGCCCACGGATGTAGCCAGGTAATTTAGATTTTGGTCTGATGGTTAGGGAGTCATGGCAAGTATCTGAGCAACATGGGGTTGGCTGTGCTCCAGGGGATTTATGCTGGCAGTGCACTGAGGAGTGGATGGGAGGAACCCAGTCAAACTGCAGTTAGAAGGTCTGGAGGTGATTGTCCCGAACTTGAAGCAGGGTGAAAGCCATCAGAAGGAGAAGACACCAGGGGACATGCAGTCAATGTCATAGAAGCCAAGATTGCTGAGGAAAGCTGCAGGTGGGACTTGGCACCAATGAGATAACCCCAGGCAGGAGGGAGTGTGCAGGGCCACGTGCAATATGGTGGCATCACAGAGCCCCACAAATAGTAAGTGCTCAGTAAAATTTTCATCCAATGAAAGAAGGGAGGCTTTCTCTCATTTCTCACACCTCTTCCTTTTGCACACCCTGCCCGGGACCCTGGAAGGAACCTGCTGGGCCAGTAGGGGCAGTACCTGCCCATGGTTCCCTCTCTGCCAGCACACCCATGTGGCTTCTCTCTCTCCATCCACCCTCCCCCTCCCTGTCCTTATCTTTCCCTTCCGTCTCCATGGCGACTCACCACTTTGGCTTGCCTGCATCCCAGCCTCTGCCAGGGATTCTGAGCCCAGCTCAGTCCCTCCCTCTTCCAGAGCCCTGGTTCCCGCAGTCCTGTCTCCTCCCTCTGGGGTGAGTCTGGAGGCAGCCTCCTCTTCCCGACATCTATTTTCCAGCTCTGACGGAGTCAGCTCCTCTGGGGAGACCAACCCCCCACATCCTCCACCTGCCACAGCGCTCCAGCTCTTCCATCTTTACCGCTGGCTGAGGGGCTTGTGGGCCTCTGTTCTCAGCTTCCGGACCCTCTCCCTACTCCCAGCCTCCCATGCCGAGGTCCGCTTTGTCAATCATTTCCTTTTGTCACTGGCTTGGCAAACAGGCGAGTCTTGAGATCTGAGGAGGAGGATGGGGGTGGGAAGGGGCTACCTGGGGATGGGGGATGGGTGTGCGGAGTGGGGATGAGGGGTCACCGAAACCAGGATTAAGACAGTAGTCTGGATTCTCTTCTAAATAACGTTCTTTTGTGTGTGTGTCCTCCCCACCCCCACCCCCCAATTTTCTCTCCAAGGAGAGAAAACGGAGCTTCATGGGAAACAGTAGCAACAGTTGGTAAGTGGCAGGGCCTGCTGGCAGGACTGGTGCAGTGGGTCTTGTCGTTGGCTGGTCCAGGAACAGGGGTGCCTGTGGCTGTCCTAGGGGAGGGAGCATGAGGCTGGATCTGCCAGGCTCTGGAGGGTGGATTCCAGGGAGGCTGATTCTAGCTCAGAGTGGGAAAGTGGAAAAGAGTCTTCTAAGAACCAGAGCCATCTACCCCACCACCGGGGGGCTCCCATCTTCTCCTTATGGTTCCACCTTGGGGTGTGTTTAAGCTGTCGCAGGAGGTTGTAGAAGGGGTCACTCCTTAGGCGATTCAACTGAGTCAGTAACTCTTTGAGGGAGCCCTGGTAGCAGGAGGCTCTGGGGGAAGATTTTCATGAGCATTTGTGCCAGGCACTGGGCAGGGTGCTGTGCATGCCCTATCTCATCAGATCGCTCTAACAGCCCCACGAGGTAGGCGCTGCTCACCTCTCCTCTTGGACAATTAGGAAACTGGGCCTGAATGGAGGCAGGAACCTGCCCATGGTTGTACTTGGTAACAGAGCAGAGCCAAGATTCCATCCACTCCAGGCTTTCTCTCTCCCAGGATCACTTTCTCCACTGCTCTGCTGCCCCCACTCTGGGATCTCCAGGCTCTGGGATGCAAGTCAGTGAGGAACAGGCCAAACATGGACTCTCTGGGAGCAGCCTGCCCCCCAAATCCCTGGCCTAAACTCCTGCACCCCCCATGCTGCTCTCAAATGGCCTGTTCTGACCCCCAGGTCCCACACGCCATTCCCCAAGTTGGAGCTGGGCCTGGGTTCCCGGCCCGCCGCGCCCAGGGAGCTTCCTGCCTGCTCCATCTGTCTGGAGAGGCTGCGGGAGCCTGTCTCGCTGGACTGCGGCCATGACTTCTGCACTCGGTGCTTCAGCACTCACCGTGTCCCGGGCTGCGAGCCGCCCTGCTGCCCAGAGTGCCGGAAGATATGCAAGCAGAAGAAGGGCCTCCGGAGTCTGGGGGAGAAGATGAAACTCCTGCCTCAGAGGCCACTGCCTCCTGTGCTGCAGGTCCCGGCCCAGGCCTTGCTGTGGGGTAGAGGGAGTGGGGAGTGGGGAGTGGAGAGACCTGAGTCCAGTCCAAAAGGGGTGTATAGCCTGGCCCTATTCTAGAATGTCAGGGTGAGAAACTAGGTTTGAGGTTGGACACACTCCAGACTCGGGGTCTGACTCCCACAGCCTGGATGCTCAGGGGCTCCTCTTTCTCTTGGCCCAGGAGACCTGTGCTGTGAGGGCGGAACCTCTGCTGCTGGTGCGAATCAACGCCTCCGGAGGCCTCATCCTGAGGATGGGGGCCATCAACCGCTGCCTGAAGCACCCCCTGGCCAGGGACACCCCCATCTGCCTCCTTGCTGTTCTGGGGGAGCAGCACTCAGGGAAGACCTTCCTCCTTAACCACTTGCTCCAGGGGCTGCCAGGCCTGGTGAGGGCGAGCTGGGGAGAGGGGCTGGGAACGAGTTAGAGGTCCCAGCCTGGCTTTGAGAGGAGAATGGAGGCTGGATGCACCAACTGATGCTCTCCTCTGTCCTGCAGGAGTCCAATGAGGGCGGCTGGCCTAGAGGAGGGGGATCCCTGCAGGGATTCAGATGGGGTGCCAATAGCCTTACCAGGGGCATATGGATGTGGAGCCACCCCTTCCTTCTGGGAAAAGAGGGGAGGAAGGTGAGGGGGAGAAAGGGCAGAGGAAGTCAAGAGTGGGTCAGGGAGGGGGAAGGGAAGAGAGAGAGCAGAGATGGGCAAAGAGGAAGACAATTGAGAAGGAAAACTTTGAGGCAAGGACAAGAAGACAGGATAGGCAGAGGTGTTGAGGCAGTCAAGACTTGACTCCTTGGCTTGTCCCCTGCCGCTACACAGGTGGCCGTGTTTCTGGTGGACATAGGGGACGCCATGAGCTCTGAACTGAGCAGAGAAACAAGGACCAAGCTTTGTGCCCTTACCACGATGCTGAGCTCCTACCAGGTGAGGGCGCTGTGATCTGACGCCCCGACCTTACCTGCCCTGATTCAGCTCAGCTTTCTGCAAACCTGGATGGAGCATCTCGGCTGGGTCTGGCCTTCAGAGCGCAGGAGTTGGTCACCTGGCAGGTTCTGGGGCGTGCCCCTGCAAGGGAATGAAACCCCAAGTTTGTTCTAAAGGTGGGTCAGAAGTCCCTGGGGGCAGCTGAAGGCCTGCAGGGTCATTCTCCAGCCTACCTTCTGTCCCTCACAGACAGCCAGCTGCTCTATAGCCTATGGAAGCTCCTGGGCTGATCTCTCCCAGGTCCCAAGCCCCACAGTTGGCCTGCGAGTTCCTCCCTTACTGGGGTCTTCCTAGTATCTCTGCCTTTGCAGACCCTCTTCCATCTTGTTCTCCTTGGTTCCAGATCCTCAACACCTCCCAGGAGCTGAAGGATACAGACCTAGAATATCTGGAGGTGAGGAGACATCTGGTGTTGGGGTGCCACCCCATCCCTGCCCTGACTGTAAGATTAGGGGACTGGACCAGCTGGAATCAGATGCCTTTCAGTTCTGGCCTAGGATTTCATGACCTGGAGCTGGGTTGGTGGGTTTGAGAGCAGAGGGCAACACACGAGACACCTGGTTGAGGGGAGGCCAGACAGGCCTGGAGCTGGGAGCCAGGAGCCAGGAGCATGGATTGTACAGTGAACCTAGTGTGGAGGGGAGGCATAGAACTGGAATGGCCCAGCTGCGACCCTCTGTGTCCTGCTTCTAGATGTTTCTCCATATGGCTGAGGTGATGGGCAGGCATTATGGGATGGTGCCAATCCAGGTGAGATACCCATTTCTGGACTCGTCACCTAGACCCAGATATCCCTACCCCACCAGCTGCTGGTGTCAGGACCTCTTCTCTTCCAGCACATGGATCTCTTAGTTCGTGACTCATCCCACCCCAACAAGGCAGGGCAGGGGCACATGGACGATGTCATCCAGGTGAGTGTTCAGAGGGAGGAGAAAGGGGAGGGAAGGCAGGGCAGAGTTGAGGGGTCCTATAGGCAAACTAGGAATGGGGCTCGACCCCTCGCCTAGAGCTCTCCCCATTCATCTCTCAGAAATCCAGCAAATACCCCAGGGTTCGAGAGCTGCTCCAAGGGAGGCGAGCCCGTTGTTACCTCCTGCCTGCTCCAAGGAGGCGGTGGGCCAGCAAAGACCACAGAAGCCCAGGCAGTGAGTGTCCCCAGCAGCAAAGTCCTCCCCAGGTTGCCCTTCTCTGGGCAACTGGATCCTCCTCACACTAGCCAGTGTCTCCTAGCCTCTGACACCCTTTCTCTTCCCAAAGCCCAGTCCTGTTCAGCCCCTGGTCTCCTTAGCATGAGGAATCTTTTCCTCAGACACAGATGACAATTTCCGCCACCTCCGAGCGTACGTCACTGATGTGCTGAATGCTGCCCCCCAGCACGCCAAGAGCCGCTGCCAAGGGTACTGGAGTGAAGGGCGCCCCATGGCCAGGGGAGACAGACGCCTGTTCACAGGACAGCAGTTAGCTCAGGAAATCAAGGTGTGAAAATTCCCCAGAGACCCAGGAGAGCCCACTGGCTCCCTGTCCTCCCTGACCCCTCCACTGCTGTCTCTGCAGAACCTTTCAGGCTGGATGGGGAAAACAGGGCCTGGGTTCGCCTCTCCAGATGAGGTACAGAGCTCCCTGGAAGGACCCACGGGGCAGGAGGGAGGCGGGCTGTTATGCCCTGGGATCTGAGGAGGAAGGAGGGAGGCAGCCTGGGTTTTCCCGTGGACAGATGGCTGCTCAACTGCATGACCTGAGGATGGTGGAAACTGCCAAGAAGGAGTTTGAGGAGTATGTGCGGCAGCAGGTGAGCTCCGGGCCTGCATGCAGGCCAGGTATCTTGCCAGGCAGGCCCACACGGGGGGAGGACTCCAGGTCTCCTGGTCAGGGTGCCTTCTTTCTCCTCCTGGCACAGGACATGGCCACCAAGCGCATATTCTCTGCGCTCCGGGTCCTTCCTGACACCATGCGGAACCTCCTCTTCGCTCAGAAAGACGCCATTCTGGCTCGCCACAGAGCAGCCTTGCTGTGCCACGGGAGAGAGCAGGCCTTGGAAGCCCTGGAGGCTGAGCTGCAGGCTGAGGCCAAAGCCTTCATGGACGCCTACACCATGCGCTTCTGTGGTCACCTGGCTGCTGTGGGCGGTGCCGTGGGGGCGGGGCTCATGGGCCTGGCCGGGGGTGTGGTGGGCGCAGGCATGGCCGCGGCAGCGCTGGCTGCAGAGGCTGGGATGGTGGCAGCTGGAGCTGCGGTGGGGGCTACAGGAGCCGCTGTGGTCGGGGGTGGTGTGGGTGCTGGGTTGGCTGCCACCGTGGGCTGCATGGAGAAGGAGGAGTATGAGAGGGTGCAGGAAGGGGACCGAGAGCCCCTGCTCCAGGAGGAGTAACAGTCCCCAGGAGACAGTAAAGGGAAGGAAAGATGTGAGGTGGGAGGAAAGGAAGTGGGGGAGGGGGTGATGTTCCGAGGACCCCCGTGTACCTCACTGCCCAGTGTGCTAAATGCTCAGTGTCTGGGTGGCTGGCTGAGCTGAAGACTCAAGGTGACCCCAGGAACCTGAGGAGGCCTTTGAGGGCCAAGAGGAAATATTTGGGGTAGTAAATAGAGTATAGGGCCTTTTTCCGATTGCAGACGATTGCGAGCCTGCCACTAACCTAAATAAACTCGACCACAGTGTCCCCACCAAGAGTTAGGCTCCACCTTCCCCACCCTGGTTTATTTCCCCCGGATTGTAGGAAGGCTGAGCATTCTGGAAGTCCCTCCTGGGGTGGAGAGGACCTGTCCTTTCACAGATGGGATCAACCCCAGATCGAGTGTCCTTGGTGTTCAGGATCAGGAGCACTGATGAGAGGCTGGTGAAGAGAGAGAAGGGGGCGGCCACTGGACAAAACCAAAGAGTCTGGGTGTGGTGGACAGTGGTCTAACCCCTGAAGTAGAGAAACTTGTCCCTGTGACTCTCCCTAAAGCTGCCCCAGAGGAAGGTGGTACCCCAGGGAGTCTGCATGTGCACCTTGAATGGAGTCCCTATAGGTGTCCCTCGTGGCTATGCCCTTTTTCATGCCTGGTCAGATACAGAGTGCCTATGTTTTTTTTGTGGAATGCCATCCCAGCAATGGGTTAAATGCCAAAGAAAAACACCTGCAATTGCATCTGGTGCTGAAGCAGACAGCCCTGGGAACAGTCCATGAAAGGCCTGCAAAACACCAACAAGGGAGCACGTTCCACTACACACCCCACCCAGCCTGTGAGAAGATTCCTCTGTTCCAAGTTAGCAGGAAGCCTGGGTGCAGCCTCTACAGAGAACCTGAGGGCCCAGAGCCCCTCCCAGGGAGACAGGAAAGTCTTACTAGGAAGACTTCTAGGCTATTAAACTGTAAAGGGTTAAAGGGTGCACTATATGACAAATAAAATGTGTGTGCTTAAATGTCACCTTCCCAGTAAATTATTAAAACAGTTCTTGAATTCAGCTCCCAAGAGGGCCCTGGAGCAGGCAGAGATGAACCAAGGTTCTCCATTACGGGGACTCATGGATGGGAAGAGGGAGACTGAAATTCAAGACATCTGGGAGCTGAGTGTCCAAAGCCCCTGCTCAGGGGTTGCAGGAGGGCTCAGGCCAATGGTCAAGGGCATAGCCACCCTCGCAGGCTTGTCCACTGGGACTTGGGGTTCTGCTCCCCGGGCCTTGTGAACAGGCAGTCACGTGGCATCTGTCTGGGCATAGGAAAGAATGGAGGCATAGATGGGGAGTCCTTGCTAAAGCCATGGAGAGAGGAAGAGCCCAGGACTACTTCTGCGAGGCCAGCCAGCTGGGGGCTCACCTGTGGTTTCTCCTCCCTGCCCCAGGCTCACATCTCAGAATTACAGCAGCGGTCACTGTGTCCAAACCCTTCTTTTTACAGATGTAAACCCAGGGAGAGGAAGTCTCAGCTAATTCTCCCCAGCTGTCTGACAACAGATGCAGGGGAGCCCTGGACTCCTGACCCCCCATTTGGTGGGTGTTCTTCCACAGACATCAGTAGAGATTCTGTTAGACTTGGCTGTGCTGAAATCGAGACACTTCTCTTTGGTGAC